ACCCAGCATCACCAAACCACCAGTAGTGCCCTGTGCAGGACACTTCATCCAAACAACAAACAAAACAAAAATACAAACCCAATCATCAGCAGACAGGATTACCATTATCGCAGATGGTGCTGCGATAACTGGACAGCTACATGTAAAACAATGACATTAGAATACTTCCTAACACCATGCACAAAGATAAACGCAAAATGGATCAAAGACCTAAATGTAAGACCAGAAACTATAAAACTCTTAGAGGAAAACATAGGCAGAATCTCTATGACCCACCTCCTAGAGTAATGGAAATTTAAAAAAAGTATACGAGTGGGAGCTGATTAAACTTGAAAGCTTTTGCCCAGCAAAGACAACTATAATTGTGGAATTAAGTGAGATTAAAACAAAGATCTAGTCAAGGCTATGGTTTTTCCAGTGGTCATGTATGGATGTGAGAGTTGGACTGTGAAGAAAGCTGAGTGCCAAAAAATTGATGCTTTTGAACTGTGATATTGGAGAAGACTCTTGAGAGTCCCTTGGACTTCAAGGAGATCCAACCAGTCCATCCTAAAGGAGATCAGTCCTGGGTGTTCAATGGAAGGACTGACGCTGAAGCTGAAACTCCAATACTTTGGCCACCTCATGTGAAGAGTTGACTCATTGGAAAAGACCCTGATGCTGGGAGGGATTGAGGGCAGGAGAAGAAGGGGACAAGAGAGGATGAGATGGCTGGATGGCATCACCGACTGGATGGACATGAGTTTGAGTAAACTCCGGGAGTTGGTGATGGACAGGGAAGCCTGGCATGCTGCGATTCACGGGTTCGCAAAGAGTCGGACACGACTGAGCAATTGAACTGAACGGAAAACAAATATCCAAAAACAAGAAACGAAAGATGAACCCCAGAATGATGGCAGTTCCAAAATCAGGCAAATGATAATTAAAATAATGGAATATACACCCATGAGCAAAGTCAAAACAGTCCAACAAAAACAGAGTACAGTAGATTGACCTGGCAAACAAAGGAGATCAAAAATTATATTTACCAGTTAAGAATGAAACTAATTAAAGCACAAACTGGAAAGACTAAAGCAAGGTGACAAGTGAGGAATAATGCAATGAAAGCAAAACTAACAAATATGTCGAGAGGAAAGGAAAGAAAGAAAAGAAAGAATAGATATGCAAAGTTAAATAGCAGTTGATGAAGAAGATTTTCATACATTAAAGATCAACTGCAAGGGGAAAAGAACAGTAGGAAAGGCAAACAAAGGAATAAATGTAGGAAAAATATAATAGGTTTAAAAATTAAAAATTATTTAAAAAAAAAAGAAAAAAAATGGAAGAAGAAAAAAAGGAAAAGGAAATCTCCACAGAACTGCAAAAGCCCAACGTAGAGGCAGAGATTTATAACAATAATTAAAAAATGTGACTGAGGGGGGAAAAAAAAACTCAAAAGCTTAATTGGATTTCATAGTGCCAATAAAATCAACAATTACAACAGAGGGGGGAAAAAGGGGACAAAAATCCAAAAGATTCTACAGAACAAGTCAAAAAATAAGAATAATAAATGTTTTTACTGAGTCACTGCTGTCAGAGCCCTTTCCCTCATTGGGAGTCACAGTCCACCTCACCTCCCTAGGATGCCCTCCAACACTGTGCTGATCTCTGGGCCTGCTGTGGGGGCAGCTCAGGTTCTAATCTGGTCCTGCTCCTGTGTATTCTTGCCTCCAATGTCCACAGTTATCAGCACTAGTGCATTTTCTTTTGTGGGAGCTCTCAATGGCTTTTTATATATTCCAAAGACACAGAGGCTGTCTAGTTGACTGTGTGAATTTAATCTGCAGCTTGAACAGCTGGTGGGAAGGTTTTTGGTCTTCTTCCTTCTTCCACATTGCCCCTGGGTTTCAAATGTGGTTTTATTTCCACCTCTGCATGTGAGTCGCCCACTGGGGTTTGCTCCTGAGGCTTTCCTGGAGGACCTGGGTTTGCCCCTGTGAGGGCCAGGTGTGGAGGCGGTGTAGCTGCTTGGTTCGCAGGGGTTCTGGCAGCACCAGGTACTCAGGGGAGTTGGAGGCTAGGGCAGCAGGAAATATAGTGCTTGAGCAGGGTATGGCAACCAGTATTGGCCCATACGCTCCAGTATTCTTGCCTGAAGAACACCCCCTCCCTGACAGAGAAGCCTGGCAGGCCACAGTCTACAGGGTTGCAAAGAGTCGGCCACGACCGAAGCGACCCTGCGTGCATAGAAGCAAGGCTTTTTTGGCCTGTGGCAGCTCAGCCCGTGAGAGCTGAGCGTGAAGCTGGTGCAGCTGCTTGGCTTGTGGGGACCCTGTCAGTGCCAAGTGTGCAGGGACATGGACTGCCTTGCCACAGGAGTTATGGCCCTATCAGAGTCTTTGTTCCAGCCTCTTGTAGCTGACGATCAGGCCTCTTTGGCCAGTCTTTCTCTGTAGCTCCGCCTGTTCAGGCACTTAAAGGGATCCTTGCCTGGGGTCCTTCTCTGTTCGGCACATCAGGCACATAGAGGGGCCCCCTGGCTGGGGTCCTACTCCGTGGATCAAGGCGGCAGGCACTTAAAGGGGCATGCTGGGTGGGGTCCAACTCTGTAGCTCAGTGCCTTGGGTGCTTGATGGGCCAGCGTCTCTATTGTTCAGCTGCCGATGCTGGCGTGTGCGGAGAGAGGCTATGGTACTGGCTCCACCCCCTATGCTGGACTCAGTGGTATCGCCTTGCTTCCCTGGCTGCATGGCTTTCCTCCACAGGCATTCCCCTCCCCCAGTCTCCTCCCTCACATCCCCTGGATCCCTCTCTCCACAGTCAACAGCAGCCCTCACCCTGGGATTGCTGCACAATCCCCAAACTCCAGCTCCCAGCCGCTGCACCCTCCAGGGGACCAGCATTCCTGTCTGGGGTATATGTGGTGGCGGCAAGGACTGTCTGATTCTCATCCTATTTAGGCTGCCAAAGATCAGTTGTTTTACTCTCAGCCTTAAATGATTTTCCTCTGCCTCAATTGCCCTGATGTGGGGATCAGACCCCTGCTTCAGTTCCCCCACCTGTCGAGGGCAGGTCCAGTCCTACTAACACTCCTGTTTTTCCCCCTGGTTCCTTCGTCCTACCAACAGACATGACTCTATATAATATATTCTTGTCCACTGGTCAGGTACTCCTGTTCACTCTCAAGTGGTGTTCTGCATGCACTTCTGCGTCTGAAGGTGTACTCCTGATGTATCCATAGAGAGAGATGTACTCCAGGTCCACCTACCCTTCTGCCATCTTGTTCTCCCCCCTAACTTGCATTTTAAAGAATATCTCATTGGATTTACAGGCACTTCATGGACCACTAGGGACTCAGAGAGTCATGTTCCATCTGAGTTTCTACCTAAAGTTTGCCAAAGGTCAAAACAGGAAATCAGTCAGCTCACAGATGTCTCATCATGTGCTTAATGTGGTGTTGTTTTCACCAGATCTTAAAGCTGAAAAGTGGGGCAGAGGTTCTCCAGATTCCCCTCTCTGTCCAACCAGCCCATTTCACACCTGCATTTCCATTACTGCCTAGACCTGCAGGGCACTAAGTGCATTGGACATTAGCCAGAAGTCAAGAATTAGCAACTGCCAGAGCATCCTCTACAAACAGGAAATGTAAGAATTTAGGGATAGTTATCAACACTGCCCCAGCCCTACCCCCAGCTGAGGGGAGGTACCTGCATGAGCAAGCTGCCCGCAGGGTCCTGGGCTAGAAGCCTAAGCACAGCGTCTTCACCTGGTGAATGGAGATAGGTACATCAATACACATACCTGTTTAGCTTGCAGCCCAGCCTATCCATGGAAGGAAGGACCAGAAACCATGTGACTCTAGGAAGGCACCTGGCTGGCTGGGAGGAGAGTAAGAGGGACGTAATTTTCACTGCACTGACCCTTTGTGCCTTGTGAAATGTGAACCAGGTGTAAGGATTAGCTCTCCTCCACGATCAAGACCGTGTGAAGTGTGTGGAGAGCTTCCTCCCAGCTGTAATGCTCTCCCTTAGATTTCAGGGTGAGGTTGGACCGTCTCCTTCTCTGGGTCATCCTTCTCAATCCTCCCAGGAAAACTGCTTTCTTCTCTGTGCCCCTGTCCACTTGCGTTACACTGCCTGGATAAGAATGCTGTAGCCTGACTCACTGACACGTGAGCCCTCGAGGTTGGGACAGGATGTTGTTTATTCCTCTGACTCTTCTGGGAACATTTGCAGTATTTGGTGAACACACCATCCCGCCCCTTTGCCCAGTTTGAGGCCCCTGCAGATACTGGTTTTCACCTGTATAGAGATGAGCAGAGATGAAGGGGGTCATTCTGGGATTTCCCCCAAAGGTACTATAAATCCCTTGGGTAAACAGATGCCCAATACAACCTTCTGTTTATAATGAGAAGTGCACCCATCCACTTTTGTTATGCTGCCTGTGCTGTTCAATACACTAGGTGCTAACCACATATGGACACTGATTATTTGAAATGTCGATAGCATGACTGAGGAACTGAATTTTTAAATCATTTCATTTAAGTGAACGTAAATGTAAACAGCCACATCTGGATAGTAGCTACCATACTGGACAGCTCCTTTCAAGAGCTTTCTTCCTCGAGGGGACAGCCTTACCAGCTGGACAAGACAACCCTGAAGCATGTCTTGATTTTGAAACAATTAATTGAGAGCAAGGTCCACAAGTACCTGTTCCTAAAGTAAAAATTCAGTTTATTCATCTGTTTATGACACAGTACTCGAGAGGCAAAGTGTTTCACATCATAGATTTCACTTCCAAATCCTTGGAATGTCCATTTCTTTGGCTATAAAGAGGGACTAGCCGGGAAAGCCAGGTAATGCGTAGGAAACTAAACTAACAAAAGAGCGGGCGGGGTGGGCAGCGCTAATGTCATCCTCCCAGGGATGGGCACAGGGGGCTGTTAGCTGCAAGCTGATTGTGGAGAACCGTTAGCTGGAGCATTCAGCAGCCGTCCTGGATGCTCGGGCCGTCGCGGGGGTTCAGTCATCCCCACCACACAGGTACAGCAGCGCTTTCTGGTAGTCGCCTTTGGTGTCTTGCTACAAATGGCCGAGGAGAAAAAAAGAAATTCTGGGTCAGGAGAAAGATCCAAATTCTGCAGGAACAGAGAAGCAGGCCCACGGCACATGAAGGCCCCGTGGGACCTGCCCAGATGCCCCCAGACCACCAGAGGCTCCTCAGAGAGTGGTCCAGGGGGATTACTGCCACAAGCGTCGAGAACAGGGGGTTCTGGGGATTAACGTGGTAAGTGACCAGAGGACAGACCCTGGTCTGCTCCTCCTGCAGTGAGGTCCTGCAGACACCACCCTCTTTCTCCCTGGCCTGCATCCTTCCAGAGAAGACACACGAGGCCCCTTCCTGTCTCCCTGTGTTGTTTTGTGGACTTTTAACATCACATGGGAAGAAGCTGATAGATTAAGGACATAATTACTTAGAGTCTAAATGGGCCCAGAATTTTAAACATATGCCCTGTGAAACCTAGTTGTAGTGAACTCAGCTCTGAATTCATCCCTGGTGACCACTGACATGCCTTTGACATTTTCAGAAAAAGAGGTTTGCAGCATATGTCTGAACTAAACACAGTGGGAGGGACCACGGTGACTGCAATCGGTGCTTATAAAAGGATGCTCCAGCCCTCCAAAACGGGGACAGGCTAGACCAGGGGAAGAGACGGAGGTTCTGAGTGAGGAAATGTGGCCCGGGCTTATCACAGAGGAGTTTCAAGAAATGGAAATATAATAAAATGCAGTTTGAATTGACTGAAGTCTTTTCAGGATGTCAGCAAGTCTTACAGGATCACTGTCATGAACGCCAACTATCACAGTAGAATAGGTATGGAAAGTATAAAATATTTGCCTGATTCTTTAACTTTCCAGGACACGTCGTAATAGCACTTTGAGAATAAACCCCTGATATCTGATGAGTAGCATCTCTGCCCTGGGGAGTTAGGAAACAGAAAACCACCATGTTGCCATTGTTCTGCCAGACACCTGCCTGGGACCCCAGCCCCCTGATGGCCAGGGGCCTTACCTGAATGTAATAGTAGAGGGACTTCCCATACTTCTTCTTGAATTCAGATCTAATTTTCAACATGTCCACTTCACTGCGCGAGACCATGATTCTAATCAGCACCTTGTCGCGAGTGCCCTTGCCCTGAAAACCAAATGCACACTCCAAGTTACAATTCACTGACAGTGTTAATCATTAAAAAGGAGTCTAGTGGGGACCTGGTGATCCAGTGGGTAAGATGCCAAGTTCCCAACTCAGGGGGCAGGGGTTCAATCCCTGACTGGGGAACTAAGATCCTGCCTGCTGCCCAGAAAAAAAAATAATAATAAAAGTCTAGTCGGTTCTCTTGCACATGGAACTGATCTAGGTTCTTGATGGTGCCCTAAGAGATTACAATAACAGTGAAACTGCTCCCTAAAGAACAATGAGCATCTTGGAATTCCAAACACACCAGTGGCACAAACCCTTGCACACCACGCATTTAACAAACGTGAACTGAGCACTAACTACTGCAGGGCTCAGAGTTAAAGCATGAGCGTTCACACGTGTAACACAAACCTACTGGCTCTTGGGGGCCTCAGGGAGCACATGTAACCACGTTCACCACAGCTCTGCGCCATCATGAATGGCACAAACAATAAGGACCACTGAGTTTACTTCCAGAATCTTATAGCAGAGAACAGGTCAAATGTGACATGGGAAAGGGAAGAGAGGCCGTGTGGATAAGAGGGTGGCCCAGGAAGCAGCAGCAAGGGCTTGGAAGCCGGAAAGCACGAGGCACATGTGACAAGTGGAAAAGGGGATGGGGCTGTGGGAAGAGATGGCCACTGAAGGGAAAATCACAGGGCTGGCTTTGGACTCATAGAGATCCAAGGTTCGAGTCTGGCTATGCAACCTCAAGCAAGCCTTTCCAAGCTCCATTCTCCTCCTCTAGAAAGAAGATGGCCACACAAGCCCCATAGGTTTTTCAGTAATGATTAAAGATGAAGTCAGCAGCACAATGCCTACTGCACAGTGGTCGCTTAATAACCTCTCTCTTCCTCGCCCATCCTACTCTGCGGCACCAGGAGGGGATCGCTAAGAACTCTGAGCAGGAATCTAATGTGATCACCATCTGGCACTTTCTCTCCTGTGGCACTATGTTCTCTACCTGTCCACAAAAGCGCACTGAAGTCGCTGGGAGAGGCAGAAGACTGAAAACCACTGGACTGTGGGTCTCCATCTGTCAGGGGCGAGCACAGCTGGCCAGCGTCGTCACCTCGACAATGGGGTCTCCCTCGCCACCCACTAGTTAAGGAGACTTAGCTTGGGCCACAAAGAAAGGAAAGCCTCTCGGCCGGCTGCTCTTACCTTCATGGAGTCATACAGTCTGTCAGCAAAATACAGGGGCTTGTTCTGAATGCACTGGACTGCAAGGAGGAGAAAAGGGTCAGCACATGGGCTGCACAATGGGAAATGCTCAGGGAAAACCAGGGGTCCTCTAAAGCCCTGAGTGCTTTTAAACCAGGGGAGCCTGAGGACCACAGAAGCCGATGCATATATGTGCGTTCCCCCCAAGCAGAGAGCCCTTTCCCTGATTATTTTATTCTGCCTGGGCAGCTCTCCATTTTGCCAACATAAGCCCTTCTTCAGTCCTATATCTTAAATGCATACGGTGAAGATTATGAAACTACCTACAACACGTAAAGAAGTCACACTTCCCGAAGCCACTTGAATGATCAGGATGGTCACTCGTTACTTCTCTGCTTCAGCACAGTGGACTGAAAGCTGACGTCCGCTAGGACGGGGCAGTGGCGGGGCCGGGGTGTGGAAGGGGTGCACACTTGCTTACCCAGATTCAGAAAGGCATTTTCCAGGTCTCCTTTGACCTCCTTCTTGATGCTCTCCAGCATGTCATAAGGGCTGTAGCTCTTGTACCTTTCAAATACTAAAGAAGAGCAACAATTATTGTAACAGAGCCAATAAGAGTCAATGGTCACCCACACAGTTACACATCACACACACACGGATGATCACAGCATTCTAGGGGTTAGGGACTGCCTTGTGAACCAGGGCCAACACTGCTCCAGTTACTCTGGGACAGCCCAACCATGCATCCTTCCTGAATGGCACAGCCCAGGGCATGTATTTTGACCATCTTCATCTCTGTAGAGTGGAACCCATTTTATTTACGCTACAAGAAACAGTACGTAGCACCCAGCCAAGTCCCTTATTTCAAAAAATATGGCAAGATAAAATGACCTAGACAAGAAGAGGCAGCCCACCAAACAGGCACTAAACATGGAAAATATTTGGGGGGGAAAAAAAGGATCCAAAATGGGAGAGAAGGTTGAATGGATTTGGTGAGGAAAAATGCATGCGATTACAGAGTACAGAGTGGAGAAAGAACTCTGTTCCGGCAGACCCGAGCTCCAACACAGACACCTGTCAGCAATGGCCCAACTGAGAGGGCCCCTCATTCAGGCCCCGGGACTCTAAGACCTCCCCAGAGCAGCACCCACCTTTCTGGAGGTGGCACACGCTCCGCTCGGTCATGATGCTGATCCACTTGGGAACATCAGTTCCTTTCCTCTTCACACCAGCATCATAGAGATCCTATGAGCACAACCAGCCATGAAAGTAAACACCACAATCCAGAGAGCAAGGTCATTAAAAACACATCATGCAGGAAAAAAAAAAAAAAACCACCAAATCTACGCATTCAAAATGGCAAATGAGAAAGGACGGCATTGCAGGCGCAGGAAAAATGTGCTATTTTCTTGATCAGTGTCAAAGTCTTGATCAAGAACAGTCTTCCCGAGGCACAGACATGCAGTATGAGACTAGGTTGTTTGTGAGGCTGATGATGAACCAGTCTTCCCTGAATGCCAAGGGAAGAACCAAGAGCTTCTACTCATCCACAGAAGGACAAGCCAATGCTCACTAGCGCCTTCCATCTGCTGAAGACAGCTGCAGGTCAGGTACCCACCCCGGGCTTCTTAGAGATTGAGAAAATGATGTAGCTGGGAAAAAAAAGCTGCTTCAACCACATTCTCAGTTTCTAGAAAATTTAGGGGCTACAAGTAATGCTAAGAATGTCAAGGAAGGAGGGAAAAAGGCTTACGCAGGAGCCAATACTCACTGAGTGACCGTTCACTATCTGGGTGCTGCAAAGTCTAACTTCCATTTCTTTATTAAAAAGCCTTTTCTACCTCCTGCTAAAAGTGCTGTGTGAAATATACTGAATTTTAAAACTAAAACGAATTAAAATTAACCTTGTTCGTCAGCTCCTGTGAAATACATCGAGACAGCTGTCGACCCTCTGGGAAAGGCAGGCAGTTCACAGTGATCTGCATCAGCTCCCCAACTAGTTCTCAGTGACTATGGGATGGGAAGCAGCAGGACTTCTATTTGGCCAGAAAGGAAGACCTCTGCCTCCCTTGTCTTCTCCCCCGCCACCAGGGCCGTGAGCTTCCCTGTCCCTGGCCACGCCACCATCTCCTTCCACTGTTGCGTGTTGTATGCTGTATTAGGGTTCATTTGGAGCAACTGCACACCAGTGCACACAGCGGTAGCACACCCTGTGGAAACTGGTTCCTCCATACAAAACAAAGCTTGAACGAGCAAATGTCAGTCAGATGCCGATCCTGTAACTAACACCAGCATTATAAGGTCTTATAACTATGGCTCCCAGAAAGTGAAAATGAAGCCCACAGGTTCTTTGACATTTCTCCCTCCCAAACATGGAGCCTACCTCCTCTTCCGCTGTCTGGAGGCTAGACCTAGGGACCTGCCTCGAATGAACAGAGTGTGACAGAAGTGGCAGTGTGTGGCTCTTGAGATCACATCCTAAATGGCACCTGGCTTCCTCCGGACACTGTCTCTCTTGGATCACTCCCTCTGGGAGGGCCTGCTGTCATGCTGTGGGAACACTCAGCCCCTTAGCGAGGCCCATGTGGAAAGAGACTAAGGCCCCCTATCAACAGTCACGTGGGTGGGTCATCCGGGAAGCCTCCTGACACAGTCAGGCCCTCAGAGGATTCAGCCCTGACCAACAATTTGTCTCCAACCTCATGAGAAGCCCTGAGCCAGAATCACCCAGCCAAGCCACTCCCCAGTGCCTGACCCACAGACACTGAGGGATAATACATGCTTGTGGTTCTATGCCACTGAATTTCAAGGGAATTTGTTACAAAGGACAGATGACTACATTGACTATCCAGAGACTGGGAAACCAAACATCAAACCAAGAAGCTCGGCACTGACCCTGGCGTCCTGGTCAATCAGTTCATAATCAATGACAGAGCCATCCTCTGCTCTCCGACCCTAAAAAAAAAAATGAAAGCAAGAAAGAACATCAAATGTATAGTTATGTACATTTTAAAATGAAAATGTTGGATTTCTCCCCAACTCATGTAAGCCACTATTTACTGAATGGACACCCTCTGAAAATTCTTCTTCACTTAAAGGTCTAGGCAAGACCAAGGATTGTTACAATAATTGAGGCAGTGAAGTGGGGGGCTGTAACCTCTGTGGTACCCATTCCTGGGCTAAGCGCCTTATAGAATCCACCCTCTGTCCACCCCCCAAAAAGGTAATGATATTTAAATTCCTTCCCTCGGAGAACACACAATCCAGGAGAAATAAGGATGGGATAAATGGTAAAGCAACACAGTATCTGTGGCTCTAAGTAGATGTGAAATGCAAAAGAAGGCAGAAATCTGTCAAGCAGTATCATCAGCAAAGACTATGGACAACGGGCTACAGCTGAGGTAAACCCAAAGGATGCATCAGATGAGGGTGGTACGGGGGAACGGGAGAAAGCCGCTCCACGCAAGAGGAACGGCTCAGAGTGAGGTGAGCAGGGGAAAGCCTGGTGAGGAAGACTAAGGGAGGGCCAGGGTACAGAGGATGCCTGAAGGCAGTTGAGAGTTTGTATTTGATACAGAAGAAATGAGTTTTGACAGGGGAGTAAAACGGTACAAGTGGATTTCAAAATGATGGGTGGGTGGCCGTACCCAGGGCAGGTGGTAGAGAAGGGAGCTAGGGAGGGCGATATGGAGCTGTGACAGCAATGGAGGTGTGGGGGCCAGGATGGAGCATGCCCACTTGTCTTCAGGGTTCCTGGGTGAAATTCCTCTTCCCTTGCAGTGCTCATAGGCATTAAACTGCACGTGGGTCAGAACACAGAAGGGAAATGCCTTTCACCTACAATTAATGTGTCAACCTTGGCAAACAAGTAAAGATCTTCTCTCCAGGCAAACCACTACCTGGGTAAACCATCCCTTAAGAAATGATAACAGGTGAAAGAAACAAGAGGGTCACTTCCCACTGGGTCCTATGTGACAACAGAGAGAGGCAAAATGACTTTCCCCAAGTCACAAGGCTAGCACAGAAATCCAGGCCAGGAGCTAAGAGCTGCCTCTTCCTCCTCTGGCCCCAAAGTCCACCTGACCATACGGTTTAGCAGGATAAGAAATCCTATTATACAAAAATGACAACTCTGCAGTTGACAGTGCAAACCCACTGTCAAAATACAGCTGGAATTTCTGATGCAGGCCCAGAGGGCTGAGTTTAATTCGCTCCCGAGTATAAAATGAGGTATGCAACTTGCTTTGGGAGGAAGCAAGGGCAAAGAAACGAACCGGAAACTAACCTTTGCGAGGGCGACCATCAGCTTGCGGAAGTCGCCAGATGTGTCGGAAACGATGTCCTTCTCCAGATCGGTCTTGTACACTTGGAAAACAACACATCTGGTTTAACACTTCCTGCCTACGCAGCCAGCCACCCCACCCATCCCCTGCCCACTAAGCCTCTGAAAAGCAGAAATCTGTGGCAGTGTGGATATACCCCTAAAAAGGAGGGTGGATTCTCAAGAAGGAATTTTACCCTCATAAAATCAGAACTAGTATTATTAAAATTATTATCAGTGACAGGGGATACACAGCGCAGGATTAGACAGGGGATCCTCAAGCTCACCTTTGATCAGGGACCTCCTGTCTAGCTAAAATTCTATTTCCCAAACTTCTTCATTATACTTATTTAGAACATCAAAATATTTGGAGGACTACACACACACACACACACACACACACACAATTGTGCTTTATATCTACTGATTGAGAAAATGCACAATGGCAAAAAACTAGTAAGAATTAAAGGGTACTTTTGAATGAATTTGTATTTTACTACTCAAAATAACACCTATGTTGAAATGAAGTACCACCTATCAGGTAAGCTGCATCATCTACTCCACCTCTGGCCTCCTATATTGCTTGGTGCACATGGGTCCTCCTGCCTCCTGAAACAATGATCCGGAGTCAAGTCTGGGAATCTCCTCAGCAGAAACTGGACAGCACTCAGTACATGAAATCCATGGGGGATACTTTCTACTTCTCCCCATCAGATCTCTTTTGTTTCATAGTCTCTGCTTTCCCTCCTGTATATCCTTTTGCACTAGTTCTAGGGGGATATAATCACAACGCCCAGGCCATCAGGAGATGGAGGAGAGTGACCTGGTCACAGCAAACCCCTGGGCAGTCCAGAGGGCAGGTGTTTCTACATACGTAATCCAGGGATCCTATCCTGAACACCAGACCAGGGGGCCAGGAGAGTGGTCCCAGAAACAAGGTGGAGTGGGAGCACCATGGACCTGGGGCTACTCACTTTCCTTGTAGACTCTGTTGATTTCCTGCAGCTCCTGGTTGGTCCTTGAGCAGATGATCTCAATGAGAGAGTCCTCATCAGTCCCTAGCCCCTGGGAACCAGGCAGCACAGACATTAGCAGGGAAACCCCCTAGCCACTAGCCCACTTCTCTGAACTCAATCAGGTAAACTGCACGCACGGGCTTGGGCTGCAGTGTGCCCCTTTCTGCATTCCACCTGAGGGATATGTACTGATTCCTTGACACAAGGTAATGTTATATTCTATTCCTTTAAAAAAAAAAAAAAAGCTTCACTAGAATAAAGGATGGTTTAACTGGCATTTTTTTTTTTAGCTCAACTATATATATATACACATATATAAACATATAGTGAAATGGGAAGAGACAGTAATGGAATACACCAAAATGTTAAAATACAGCCCTTTTTGGCGATGGGTTTATAAAATGAATAACTTCATCTTCTATGTTTCTTTTTTTTTTTTTCCTCTATGTTTCTTTATTTTTCAACTCCTCTAATAATCAGCCATTATTTTCATAGACAAGAAATCATTTTCTTTATTACAGAGTCCTGCTCATTAATTTAAAATAAAGGAATATAGAGATATTGGGCTGTTGTTGGCGGCCAGCATTGTTAGATTGAAATAAGTCTTTTATGAGGGAAAGGTATAGATAAAATTTTTAGCTTTACCTCTTTGAAATGTAAAACTGGGTTAATGTTAAAAATTTCATTCTTGTACTTCCATTTTTGCTTGATTACTATGCACTCTTCAGGCATTTTAGAGAAGCAAAAGGAAATAATGAAGTGCCAAATAAACCTAGACACCAACACTTTATTAAGGAATGAGAATTTGATGGGTGATGTATTCAAATTTAATATATACACTTTTGAGCTGGCGTGCCAGATAGCTTGAAAGGACTCAATGAAACATGTATTTCAAAGCTGGCTTCATGATCAAAGTCAAGATTTAATAATCAGGATTCTCTAATACTCATCTTTCCGAATATGGAAATATCACTTTGAACTAAGCAGAATTACAACTGTTTAAAATGTAAATCAATTATAAGGTGTTAATACAATAAGAAACTTACTTAGCCACATGAAAAGTGTGTCAGCTATTAATTAAACTTATTAGAGTTTATATGCCCCTAAAAAAGTGGTTTGTATAATATGAGCTAAGCCTCAGGTTAATAGTTAATTCTGAATTTTATTCCTCAATCTAATCTATGAGCCAAGGCCTCTTCTCCCAGAGTTTTTAATCATGATTTGTAGAGGTGCTTGCAAAACCAAAATTCCTTCCCTTAGCAAAAGGTCTACACAACATTCTATATAAATATTATAGAGAGACTACCAAGCATCTTCAGATATTTTAAGGGGCAGCTTGTCAATCTTGAATGTAAATATAGTTGAAAAAATAACTCATGCATTGGAAGAAATGTTATTTCTTAACGTTGTTGAAATATAAACAGGTATAGCAACATAGATTTGTTTTCTTACATCACTGATATGCCCATCTTAATATAGGAAAATTCTGACAGTGTTTTTTCTCTCTATTTAAAAGTGACCTTGGCAATTTCAAACTTGGCCCAAGCTCTCCACAGACTGTCCACAGCTCCCATCACAAGGGCACTGTCTACTGTAACATACGGCAGATATTGCCAGTGGTATTGCCAGAAGTCAAAACAGATTTTTTTTAAGCATTGTTCAGTTAATGTCACTCGGAGCTTTATGGATTTCAGAAGGGTACTCAGCTGTGATAACTAATGGACGAGCTGGCCCAAGGTCAAAGATCCAGCAGTCAAAGCACCTTTCATTGGACCCAGTTACAGAGATTACAATGGTGATGGACAGCTCTTACAGGTCTGTTTCAGGTCACTAATACTTAGTAACAGATAAAAGTAAAATTATACAAATCACAACTAAATGAATTCTTGGAGAAAATAAGATAAACTGATCTGAAGTGATGATGGTCAGAAGAAATCTAGGAGAGGCTGGTTTATCCACAGCTCCAAAGGTCCCAAGACTGAGTGTTTTCAGTGTTCTTTTTATCAAGCAAGACCTTTAAGTGTTGTTGACATCTTATTCTTAATTACACCTTCCCTACAACATAGTCTACTTAGATAACTCAGAGCAAGTCTGCTCAAATAAACTGAGCACAGCTTAGACTTAAGCCGGAAAACTGATTTCAGAGCAAATAGCAGCCCTGAGCTATCAACTTCTGGGCCCTGGAAATGCCTGGCTGGGAGGCTGCCTCCCTTTCGAAGTGTTCTGTGGGAAAAGTGATGACAACTGAACTGTAACATTAGCTAGTGACAGGCTTACAGGTCTGTCTCTCCATTAATCCAGAAATGGTGGCATCACAGAAAACACACTTGGACTTAGAATGAAACATCAGAACTGCAGCTTTTCCCTCTATACTGAGGCTTTAACCAGCTTTACCAGCAGAGGGCAGTGACACATTATTCAAAGTGTCACAGGCACCTTATGAAAAGGATTCTATGCTTTGCTGTAACATGCGTTTATGTTTCTGTATCTATTGCATTTATATAACACTTGATGTTTTAGGTGCACATAAAATACAGGGGCACTTGCAACCTAGAATTTTTACTATCTACTTTAACCTTAAAATCCATGTTCAAAATAACTGCAAAAATACAAACAACACTCAGTAGTATGTGCTTTGAAAACACAGGAACCATTCATGATCTGAAATCGCCCTTAATATCCGCAGTGATATTCTGATTTTGCCCAAAATCTGAATCAAACAATGGGACCAGCAAGGAGAAGGTCAGAAGAAGAAACAACCAAAAAAGCATCAGCAGATTTCTGTTAAGCTTCACTTAACAAAAGCTATGAGTTTTACTTTTGCCTTAATGTCATAACAAATCTTTTTTAAGGAGGAAGTGTAATCAAGGAAGTAGTTTTTCCAAATGGTATTCCAATTGCCCAGGTGCCAAGCAGTAGCAGCTGGTAACTGACTTCTCTGCATCATGAAATTTCTTTACAGTCTTAAAAAAAGTAATTGAAATATTTTTGGTACAAATCCTGAGACTTAAAGCTTCAGTTCATTCCCCCAAAATGACTCCAAATGAGAATTCAACAAAACCGAAAATCACCTAATTATACTCAGAAAGCTGTAATTCACAAATATTAATGGCGGATTTGACAGAGATTGCATCTTACACGTGCTTACCTTCATGGACGCTTTCAGCTCGGAAGCATCATACTGAGCAGGTGTTTTCAATAGGCCCAAAATCACTGTCTCCAGGTGGCCAGACAAGGCTGACTTCAGTGCTGATGCAAGTTCCTTCAGAAAAACGGGCGAGAACATGGAAAAGTTGGTTGTTAACCAATGGTCCCTTTAAAACTAATAAGACAAAAATAGAGGCCTGTGTTTGTAAAGCAGATTGTGATTCTTTGACACCTCTGGGGTGCTGGGTCAAGGTATTCTTCAACTGCATTCCCTCTGGCCAGACCCAAAGGTCAGAAACTGGAAGATCAGACTTTGCTCTGATAATATCCAAGTTGATTTTGCCTTCTCCCCCATAAATAAAATGAAACCAGAGCAGCACACAGCCTCAAAAAGCTATGAGTGAATGCCTTTCATCACAACTTGCTTACACTCACCCGTCATTCAGCCTACAGAGGGTAGGGCCCTTTCCAGGGCCAAGGGCCTTGCTAAGAAGGAGGCGGTCAGAGTAGGGAGCTGCCAGGGAAGCAGAGCCCTCGAGGCCTGCTGCTAACTTCCTGTAAAGACTCTGTGCAACTGTGCCAGAGGCGGTTCCAGAAAGTCTCCAGTTGAAACCAGAGGCTACCACGTGGCTGGAAGTAGGCTCATGAAGTTTTCCTATGCAAAACACTTCACCTATTAAGAGAAACCTCTGTTTTCCATGCCAAGTTGGAATGGTGTTGACAGAGGTAGCGAGGATAAAGTCCCCCCATTCACTTCTTAACTTCCCCATTGTGTACTGTTTCTTTTGTGTGTGTGTGTGTGTGTGTGTGTGTGTGTACTGTTTCTTAAAGGTTCCACTGTCACCATAAAAAATCCACTGACTGATTTCAAGTCAGAGGCCTGAGTCAGCAACACATATGCAGACAGATATCCCAATTCGATGTGGCTTTTACAGATGCTTCTTCAGGGATTAAACTTCCTACAAACCATGAGCAGAGTGATGGCTGAACTCTCTTGTTAAAGTAATTTTTTTTCTTTCTTTTCACTTTTTCCCTCTTCTGTCCCTTCTTTCTTCCTCCCCTGCTCTCTAGCAGCACCCATGGCATCTATGATGTTTAGCCTCTAGAGGTGCATGCAGGCTCTAAGAGGTGATGGCAGCCTGCTTCAGATAATCTTCTTAAATCATTCACAAACGTCGAGGACTGAGATGGGTCTTAGAGATCGTCTGGACCAACCCTTTCATCACCTACTTTCTCTGGCTTCCCCAAGTCCTAGTAACACCTAGCACTTAGGAGGGGACTTTCAAAGCTACTCCTTCCAATTATAGCATCAGTATTCTAACTTGGAACCTTGAGGTTAGGTAATTCCAAATTTAGTCTTCCCTCCATCCGTTCTCTGTTCAGATCTCAAATAGCATCTGGGCACCTACTGACTTCTTCCACTTCTATAATAAACTTCTCATGGGCGGTCAACTTCCTGCTTCTCACACTGTCAAGCACAGGGCTTTGCACTCTACAGAAACTCCAGATATGTTTGACAAATAAAATACGACCATTCCTTGTATAGAGAAACCTGGCATCTGCTCGGACATGAAAGAAGCATTAAAATCAATCCTCTGTCCCAGCGCCTGTCCACTTCTACGAGTGTGCCCCTGGTTGCCTCTCACCCAGGCAGACTTGGTCCCTATTGTTAAAGACTCTACAATACAGGGCTTTCCCCATTATTATGCAAACAATACAGTTCTGCTTTGAGGATTTCCTTCAGAAAGTATTTCAAGGGACTTCCCTGAAAGTCCAGTGGTTAAGACTCCATGCTCCCAATGAAGGGGGCACAGGTTTGGGGAACTAAGATCCCACATGCCGCACAGTGTGGGAAAAATAAAACAAAAATAAGTGTGCAGAAAGTTATCTTAAGTATTTTATGTATCTCACTTTAAAATATGACAACTCTCCTTAGTCCAAGGCTGACAGACATCAAGAATCAGTAGGACAGTGAGTTGACCCCAGCCCACAGCAAAGCTTGTGACATCACCAAACCCAGCATGATTCTGTAGTATCTTCCCTCCAGCAGGGTATGTGAGAGCTTGGTTCTCCATCTGTCTCATCTGAAATTGAGATCCAGGCTTCTGTGATTCAATGTACACTTGTGTGTTCACACCCAACTGTGTTCGAAGATCACGCCCTGTAAGCAACAGCTGAAGGAGCAATTACAGGCATTTTCTCCAAAGAGTTGGGCCTTCTGCTCCAACTGAACTCAGCTCTACCAGTTCACAGATCCTTTTGGCAAAGCAGGGAAATAAACACTCCCTTCCATGCCTCACTACAGTAGGTTAGCATAAATCTAGGTGGAAGAACAGCTTTATTGCATATGAGAGGAAAGAAACCACATACTTTCCTATTTATGTCCTTTCCAACTGTTTGAGAGGTTGGGTTTGGGCTTGACCTGCAACTCCCTGGACCCTGGGGGTCATGTCACCCCAAGTGTATGAACATCTTTTCTAGAATCCTTTCAGCTCACCTCTACTGTGAATATGAGTGAAAACTATAAAACGGGAGCTGCGGGAAGCCATGCTTACGGCACTGTCCAAGAATAAATCAAATGCTTTTAATAGCAAGAAGTTAAAAATAAAGCAGCTTGTCCTTAAAAATAAAATTTCCTAACACTGCGACAAAATAAAGGATGAATAAGTGCTGGGCTGATCCTTAACCACTAGTGGACAAGCAAGTGAAAAAAAACAGAGAAGACCCTTTCAGCAATGGCAGCATGGCATGTTGAAGATAGCCTGGAGACCAAATAAACCACACTAACTAAATCCTGGTGGTTCCAAAGGTCTTAAGAACTCAAGTGAATATTATTTTTACCTTAATGAGAGGTGCATGTCAGGATCAATACTCAACAGAGGTTAGTGTCCTAAGATTAAATTAAAAACATTTTATCAAGAGCCAGCAGAACGCATGAAGATGAAATGAGTGGCTATATGTAGGGAAGCGCATGCCCAGCACAAAGTAAGCATTCAGTAAACGATACCTGCTGCTGCTTTTCCCCAGCGTTTCTATTTCTATTTCCAGAACTGTTGCCTCTACATGCTCTGGCTTGGAAGAGGCTGTGGTCTTTATGAATGAGCTCCAAGCACCCCAGGGGCCACACATGTGTGAGCTGTGACTCTTACAAGGATGTTAAGGGGAGAATTTTGGATCCCCTAGGGGTCCTGAAGGCGCTTGCTGGTAAAAGCCAGAATTCATGAAACGAAAAACTAATGGCTGAGGAACTGAAATTCAACAACAATGCCCTGCAGCCCTGAGCCCGCTGTACCTTCTTGGTCCTCCTCTGGTAGGCGAAGGCGATATCCTGTCTCTGCTCATTGCTGCGGTTGGTCAGGATATTGACGATGGTGACCTCATCCACACCTACAAAGATACAGGTTGTGAAGAGTTACTCAACCATATGCTCTAGTCCTTTGGGCTTACAAAGAAGGGTTTAAGCATTTTTTTTTTAACCTGATATATATATATATATATTGTTCTCTAAACTGAAATACCAAGACATTAAGATTTGTTCTCTTTTTTTTCTGTCAGCACCCTCCACCCAATATGTACATCCTCTTTTTTCTCCTGACAGGCTCAAACCTCAAGTCCAATTGGACCTCTAAAATATCTGTGTTTAAAAAAAAAACTATTTTATTCTTAAATTGCTTTCTGAAATCAACAGTAGGAGGTGCATTTGTGGGGCTTTGGCAGTCAAATGAACAACAAAGATTTAGAAGGATTTTAAATGAAGGTCCCCGAATTGCCATTTAACTGGGGATTTAATAGACAGTAACTGCGACCTGAATTAATAGAGACAATTATTTATATTTATTGCAGGATTATGGCTATATAAGAGCTGGGTATAATTTCTATAATTATAGAAACCGTCATGACAAATGAGTCAGATTTAATATGGCAGTTGTATTTTAATAGCGTAATTGATTAATACAATCCTACTTACCAAAGACTAAATTGTTTTGTAAGGAAAATAAACGTTCCACTGCTTTTAATCTTCAATAGGCAATTTTAATAATCAATTTTATAACTTTATTAAAAAGAGTAAGTGTTTTAATCTAAATTAAATCTAAATTGGGAGCTTTGAAGTGCCACCAAAATATTTTAGTACATATTTTAATTGAAACATGTGTATTTACAAAGATAAGCAATGCCTTCTGGTATCTGAAAGTTTCCAATTTTACATCAGAAATACTCCTAACATGCCATTTAACAGAAGAAAGCACAATTTTAAAAATTCAGAAAGTGAAAGGTCTCTCTCCTGACTGATGATGAACTTTGTTTAATAAAAGGAAGAGCCTTCGCCATAATAGGATAGGTAATTTCTGAGTGAGAGACAGCACAGTGCTTAAGCCTACAGGGTCATACATGAATTGCAAACAGCCTGGCCTAAAGGAAATCAGGAGTTGCCAAGGTCAGACTGTCATGCTCTGAGGCAGAGGTCATGAGCAGACTGACAGAGAAGATACTCGAAACTCTCAAGTGTCTTAGAAAGATCAAAAGCAGAAAGTTAGAATTTCTGGGTATAAAAATAAATGACATTTATTTTTGTATTTATATACTCATTTTTCAGTAATTTTATGCCCATGTTAGGGCTTCCCAGGTGGCTCAGCAATAAAGAATCTGCCTGCCAACACAGGAGGCACGGGTCCTATTCCCGTGTCAGGAAGATGCCCTGGAGAAGGAAAGGGCAACCCACTCTGGTTGCCACTCCTGCCTGGGAAATCCCAAGGACAGAGGAGCCTGGGGGGCTGTAGTCCACGGGGTGGCAAAAGTTAGGATGCAACTTAGCAACTAAACAACATACCAGTTAGTCAGTTACCTTAACTGCATTTATACCTTTAGCCAGTGTCAATGTAGAAACCCAACTGTTCAATATGAAATTATTTCAAAGATGCTTATTTCAGCACCGCATATAATAAATAAACAGGGAAATATCTAATAACTGATTAAATAAATGCTTTTGTTCATATCATGGGGTACTATATAGACATTTTAAATGATGATATTAAGTATTAACTGACATGAAAAAATGTTCACAATATGCTGTTAAGGAAAAAAATGGGTTGCAAAACAGTATCCTTAATCTAACCTGATTTTTGTAAAATGAATGCTCATGTGTAAGAAAACACAAAAACCTCTTTAAACCAAAAATAAATTTTTAAAAATTTCTATTAGAGTATAGCTGATTTACAGTGTTGTGTTCCATTGTAATAGTGATCATCTGAATGGTAGGATTATAGATAATTTCAAGTTTTCATCCTTTCAATTATCTAGAGTTTCCAAATTCACCATGATGAGCATAAAAAGGGTATTTTTTAAAAATACATACAGTGAAAGGCATAAAACCACTGATTTAGAGTCAACTAGTGATTTCACCTCACGAGACTCCTAGTTTGGTTCTAAATACTTTAGTTAGAATAAAACACGATATGCATGATAGTCAGGAACTGTATCTGTACTCTTTGCTTTCTAAAACATCCTAAGGCAAACCATCTTACGTAACCTTCACAACAACAACGTGGCAGGGTGGTTATTTCTCTTCCTAGTTTACAGGTGGGGAAACTGAGGCTTCAGCTACTGTTACCCAGGGAAACATCTGCCTTCCTGGGGTCCCGGTCTCTACACCTGCATGAGACGGGATTTGAACCATGACCTCCAGTTCTGCTTCCACAAAACACTAACACATAAAATTGAACTTGAACTTACATTTAGTCTCAATTAGGTACAAGCCTGATAGATTTCCTCACAGACTCATTAAGGCTATGGGACTACTTTAGGGTGTGTCTGGGCATGTGGGTACGCATGGCTACCCACACAAGTGTGTTCACAGGTGCTCTCTCTCTCAATATTCTACAGCTCTGTATTAGAAGAACTGCTTGTTTATAAATGTCTTTTTATTTGACACTTAGCTTTCTTACCCAAATCTGAAAATGCTGGGAAATAACAAAATATAATTATATTCTCTAACCTCAACTCTAATATGTCCTGAAACCAATTTGAGGTTGCTGACCTGAATGCAGGCCAAAAATACTGACTCATAAACAATTATTCTCCCCTGGAAACAAATACAAGGTTGTGTTTGTGTCAGAATAGGTCCTGAGCCCACCTGAATGAGAATCATGTGAAGCTCTTATTAAAAACACAACACCCTGGGCCCCATCCTGAGATCTGATTAAAGACGCTTGGGGACACGGGACCTGGGAAGCACCATTTCAACCAGCTCCCTGGTGATTCTTTGAGAATCACCACTAGAGGTGGAAAAGCATGGGTAGGGATTGGAAAGGCTGCTAGCAATCTGTCTGTGTATATTAAATTGCTTCTACCAACTGCTTCATACCATTTCTGTCCTTTACTGAGCCCATCTTTGCATGAGATATTCCCTTGTGATCTCTAATTTTGTTGAAGAGATCTCTAGTCTTTCCCATCCTATTGTTTTCCTCTATACTGATCACTGAGGAAGGCTTTATCTCTCCTTGCTATTCTTTGGAACTCTGGATTCAAATGGGTATTTCTTTCCTTTTCTCCTTTGCTTTTCGCTTCTCTTTTTTTCTCAGCTACTTATAAGGCCTCCTCAGACAGCCGTTTTGCCTTTTTGCATTTCTTTTTCTTGGGGATGGTCTCAATCCCTGTCTCCTCTACAATGTCACAAACCTCCATCCATAGCTCATCAGGCACCCTGTCTATCAAATCTATTCCCTTAAATCTGTTTCTCACTTCCACTGTATAATCGTAAGCGATTTGATTTAGGTTATATCTGAATGGTCTAGTGGTTTCCCCTACTTTCTTCAGTTTAAGTCTGAATTTGGCAATAAAGAGTTCATGATCTGAGCCACAGTCAGCTCTCGGTCTTGTTTTTGCTGACTGTATACACCTTCTTTATCTCTGGCTGCAAAGAATATAATCAATCTGATTTTGGTGTTGACCATCTGGTGATGTCCAGGTCTAGTCCTCTCTTGTAGTGTTGTTTTTTTTTTTGTTGTTGTTGTTTTCTTGTGTTGTTGGAAGAGGGTGTTTGCTATGACCAGTGCATTCTCTTCGCAAAACTTTATTAGCCTTTGCCCTGCTTCATTCTGTACTCCAAGGCCAAATTTGCCTGTTACTCCAGGTGTTTCTTGACTTCCTACTTTTGCATTCCAGTCCCCTATCATGAAAAGGACATCTTTTGGGGGTGTTAGTTCTAGAAGGTCTTGTAGGTCTTCATAGAACCGTTCAATTTCAGCTTCTTCAGAATTAGTGGTTGGGGCATAGACTTGGATTACCGTGATATTGAATGGTTTGCCTTGGAGATGAACAGAAATCATTCTGTCGTTTTTGAGATTGCATCCAAGTAGTGTATCTTGGACTCTCTTGTTGACTATGAGGGCTACTCCATCTTTTCTAAGGGATTCTTGCCCACAGTAGTAGATATAATGGTCATCTGAGTTAAATTTGTCCATTCTAGTCTATTTTAGTTCACTGATTCCTAAAATGTCAATGTTCACTCTTGCCATCTCCTGTTTGACCACTTCCAATTTACCTTGACTCATGGACCTAACATTCCAGGTTCCTATGCATTTCTGCTCTTTACAGCATCGGAGTATCGAACGTTGCTTCCATCACCAGTTACACCCACAACTGAGTGTTGTTTTTGCACATCAATAACCTCAGATATGCAGATAACACCACCCTTATGGCAGAAAATGAAGAACAACTAAAGAGCCTCTTGATGAAAGTGAAAGAGGAGAGTGAAAAAGTTGGCTTAAAGCTCAACATTCAGAAAACTAAGATCATGGCATCTGGTCCCATCACTTCATAGCAAATAGATGGGAAAAGAGTGGAAACAGTCAGACTTTAATTTTGGGGGCTCCAAAATCACTGCAGATGGTGACTGCAGCCATGAAATAAAAAGACACTTACTCCTTGGAAGAAAAGTTATGACCAACCTAGACAACATATTAGAAAGCAGAGACATTACTTTGCCAACAAAGGTCCCTCTAGTCAAGGCTATGGTTTTTCCAGTAGTCAGGTATGGATGTGAGAGTTGGACTATAAAGAAAGGTGAGCACCGAAGAATTGATGCTTTTGCACTGTGTGTTGGAGAAGACTCTTGAGAGTCCCTTGAACTGCCAGGAGATCCAACCAGTCCATCCTGAAGGAAATCAGTCCTGAATATTCACTGGAAGGACTGATGCAGCTGAAACTCCAATGCTTTGGCCACCTGATGCAAAGAACTGATTCACTGAAGACCCTGATGCTGGGAAAGATTGCAGGCAGGAGGAGAACGGGATGACAGAGGATGAGATGGTTGGATGGCATCACCTACTCGATGGACATGAGTTTGAGTAAACTCTGGGAGTTGGTGATGGACAGGAAGGCCTGACATG